AATAAAATAAAATAAAATAAAAGGGTATTAATAACAAAAGTAATAAAAAATAAAATTAAAATAAGTTTATAGCCAAAATAACTAAAGCCCGTACACTACATCAGATTTTAATCAGATTGGCCAGAACCTTACAGATGCCAGCCACTTTGAGACAATGTGAAAATGAATATCCTTTTTCAGACAATTTTTAAAAAAATGTATACCCCTTTTATTTGACATGGGTATAGAACCACTTGAGTAATTTTTCTTGCAATATTAATATTAATTTGGTGGCATATATGCATATAGCTTTCTATCAGAAGTACCCCCCCCCCCCACACACACACACCATAGGGGCTGGGCAGGGGTATAAAACCATTGAAATATACTTGAAAAAGCATAAGGGAAACAGAATTGATGGGTTTGCTATTTTTAAATAATTTACATACTGGTAGTTACAGCAAGTCTCAGAAGTATTGGAGCAGCCAACTTGCAAACTCGCTAGCAAATTGGTTAACTGCTTGGGTTTTGACTAAACAGTTGACTTTCGAATCTCGCTGGCGCCGACTCGTGGTCTCGTCCACTCTGGGCGAGCCTATATTGCATTAGGGGACATGGACTGCTTTTACGTACGTAGCCAGGTACATGTTTGGATTCCCCTGAATGATTTGCTTTGCGAGGCGTAATAATGTATAAATAGATTTCCTGGTAAGTCTGAGAATAGCCAGTCAGCTGACGTACAAGTAATAATATGATAAGCGATTAATCCACCGATATTTACTATATATATGGGGGTAGACATATTGAACACTGATTGAAACTACGTTGAGAAACAGATTCCTACAAAACAATTCGTTGGGGTAACATTAAGCCAATCGCTAATAAAATTCGACATCACTTCATTATACGAAGAACACAGAACACTTTCCTGGTATATTTGAACACGAAATCGCCATCCAACTGTAAGGCCGTCGCTGACTAGCTTCTAAAATTCTTTATTGTTGCAAACACCCTATGTAACCTACTCTTTTTTTACACGGGAACAATTAAGTTCATTCATTCATAAAGTATGACGACCATCCCTACCAGGGTCCCGATTGTTACATAGATTCACCCAAAGTGGGCGTGGCCACAAGACGGCGCCAGCGAGATTCGAAAGTCAACCGTTTAGTCAAAACCAAAGCGAGCTAGCGAGTTTGCAAATTGGCTGCCCCAATATTTCTGAGACTTGCTGTATTAAAGGGCGGTGGTCATCGCGCTGCGCATGTGCGACATTTGTGTTGATAAACATTGGTTTTCCCAAATTCCAATGTGCTCTTCTAATGGAAATCACGAATACGAGATTTGACCTGGGTACAACACGCACTAATTAATACCGCTGGTGACTCCTTCAATACCTTCCAATTACCATGGAAATAACATACTGAGTAGTTGAATCTTAGTAAGGTCTCAGTTTGTATTCGTTGATCTGCACAACAGTCAAAGTCACCATCTTTGTTCAAACGAGTTCCATATCTCGCGCATGCGTGGCGCGACGACCAACGCCCTTTAAAGCGGGGAAGTCGTCACCTACGGCGGTTGACGGCCATAGCGTGTCGTTGTTTACAAACACTTGTCAGGTGACGACCCCTTCTGTGTTTTAGCATAAACTCTGAAGACTAAGAGATAATTCAAAAATGACCTCTTTCATTCGAGTAATTAAATTCTAATAATTACACATGTACACACATAATTCCCCTTTTGACTTCCACGGCTATTGCACAATTTTGTAATAAAGATAAATGCAACGCCGGAAAGAAATGAACTTGATACTCGTGCATACATCGATGAGGGCGCTGGTGTAATTCCTGTCTGTTGCTCCAGGCTTAACCTCCAAGCATGTTTAATGGACTTTTTCTTAATTCCGTTATCTATAATTTGATCCAATTTCTTCTTTTGCATTTTTCCTTCACTCAAAGATTTTATGTTTAATTTATTATCTAATGCCGCATTTGATTTGTAACCTATGAGCTGCTGATTAAAAAGGGTTGCAACGAAACGTATAAATAAATAAACGTTACCAAATGGTTTTTACCAATAAAAGCGTCTTCTTAGGACTTCAACCAACGAAAAACGATATATAAATGTTGGAAAAACGTAAAATAATTTGTTATCACTGTAAAAATACTGAGTCTGTAAGAACCAATCCAGTAATGGTACTATGACTTTATCGTGGCTTATTGTAATTGAAGAAACGAAACGAAATGCTACACGTAATAACCAATAACTTAACTGTAAACAAGTGAAAGGGGGTTTTATACGCACAATATTTACGACTGTTGGACGAAACTTGACTAGTATATTCACCGTTTAGATTACCGATTATCTGTAATTAGCAAAACAAAACATTTAAAATAAAAAGAAATCCCGTCCTTTTGGCAAATGTTTGAATTGAATTTAAATGTTCTGTAAGTTCTGAGTTTGTTTTTCCCTCAGACTGTTTAATAATATCACTGTGGATTTCTTCTTTCCAATGGGACGTAAACTTAAGTTTGAGGTTGGACTTGATGACATTTATTTTTGCTGAAGTTAATTTATCGCTTTTATTAATTAAACATTCCTGTTTAATATTCTTCAACAAGTCTGTAATTTCCAAATACCACTTGGTTTTTAGGCTTTTATTTACTAAAGAAACTTCTTTAAGACAAACATTTTTGGTATTTTGAATGCGGTTGGTATTATTTTATTAATTGACGGATTTTTAATGAATATATCCAAACGATATATTATTAGTATTATTAGTAATTAACCTAATAATAGTGTTAGTCTGATGTGTAGAAAATGTTCGTGAGCTCTTGAGCGAATGATAATTACATATTTGAATTTGAGCGAATTAAATTACTAATAAATACGTTTTTATTTATGACACGAATAATGCAGTGAAGAGAACAAAGACGCAATGTTCTTAAAAATTATGAAATACCATATACAAAGCACGGCCTGTGTTTTCATTTTTTTTTATTTATTCGTAGTTATTAGACCTTTTAATTTTTAGTTGTATTTCTTTTATTTTATTTTATACTATTTTTACCATACTGTATCTACAGCAGATTTCAGTTGCGTAATAAACTATTATTATTATTATTATAACTAATATGACGTCATATCCTATTTTCATTTTACTCCGGAAGTTTGTGACTTTAGAAACGTCACGAATCACAGGAAATAAATAATCCGAAACTGCATGTAACTAGAAAGGGAAAGCTCCATGGTTGAATGTATGAGTGTTTATTGGGAAATGCGTGAGTCCTTCTCATTGGCAGCGAGGCAATCGATTCTGTGAACTTTTTTGAATAATCAGGTGACCTCAGTCACATGACCGGCAGCCATCTTCTCTTCTGTCCAACCCACTGATAACATCGCTCGGTCAACCAAATTCTGAGGTATGTTTGGAGTTATTCTGAGCGTATTAAACAATTTTACACTCTCCATATATTTATTTTACAATGTACAATTTTAATAATTCACCATTTCTCCCCGATTTAGTGATTTTCACACTACCAACCCAACCGTTATCTTTTGAAATTGATTACAACAAATCGAGATTTAGCTTTCACAAGTAGGACGAATTTGTAACATTTAATGTTATTTACATTAATTACACAACCACTGCTCGAATTACTGCGAAATATTCAACCAAATACGCAATTGACGTCATTCGCGCACTACCTAACGATCAAAAACAACAAAAATGACGTCATTTTGGAAGTCTTGCGTAGACTGTATTTTGTAATTGTATAGCATTGCAGCTCACCGGTTAATGTTTAAAAATAGCAAGTCAATCAGCGAGAGAAAAATATCATAAGTGAAGCTTGAAAAAAAAAATTAAGATAAAAATGTATTTTCAGACTAGTTAACACACTTTGAATCAAAATAAGTCGAATATAATCCGCTGACTTGCCCCCACCCCCTCTATCAGCAAGGCACTGTTTCCCCAAAAAAGAGATTTTTGGAGACAATTGTTAGTCTTCAATCAGGAGACAATTTCTAGATACTGAGGCAATTGATGTCAACCAAAGAACTGTGTGAAGTTGGAACAGCCCAACTGGGGAACCAATGCTTGAACATAATTCACCATGGATTTGTTTGCATACTTGGAGGATGAAAGGGTAAAAGTGAGATGTTCTCCTGATATTTTAACCTAATTTGTTCACACCTAGAAAATTTACTGAGAGATTTGTCAAAAATAAGGTGAATATCTCCTGATTTGGAAATAATCTTCATATTCGAAGTGATTTGAATATACCAATATGGTAAATATTATTCACTCACTATTGAATGACTGTAATTCAGAATCTGACATGATTCAGTTCACAATATCTATATATTTATCACAAGATCTAACAGAGATGTTATCTTTTGTTATTTACAGACACATTCAATATAACGCTTTATGATAATTTCCAATCTTCATTATACATTTCCTGATTTTGTTTTCATAACGATGAGTAGATATAGTCGTTTGGTGTTATTTATTAATATTCATTGATGTGTTATTAATAATGAATAATGGAAATTATTTGTATTGTAATGTTAAATTACTATATCAACTGCCAATTTTGTACTATTTATGTATTTTTCTATGCAATACCATATTTGCTCTATGAGTAGCACATGCATTTACATAAATAGCAGAGGTGTATCTATGGTTAATATAATATGTGTTTCTAATAAAACAAATATGGTATTTGCTCTCTCAGTAGTGCATGCACTTGTGTAAAAAAAACAAGAGGTGTATAAGTAATATTTTAATGATCCAGTATACAAAAAATACAATTTACAGTTAACGGTGTATCATTGATTTTTGATCGACCAATAACGCAATTTTCAACAGCCTGGATTTGATGCTTATTTTTTGTCCAAACACTTATTTTCTGACTGACATATTTTAATAAAAATCTTACAAACAATACAAGCAGAGAAAATGTCAAAAATGTAGTGGTTGTAATATGCTAATTCGCTACAAATTGACAACTACTTCATTATAATTGTTGTACATTCGGCAAAATACTGTAAACTGCTTAACATTCATTTCTTGAAATGTTCATGATATAAATTTAATTCCTATTGTGAGGACAACATTTTAAGAAAGTGAGGTTTTCATGGCTTTAGAAGCTCAGAGAAATTTCCACTGCTCAATAATTTGACAAATTTCATAGATTTACGAAATTCTGAAAAATTTGTCTTGGCCCAGAGTTCACAGTTATGTACTTTATACTGTAAACCGCTTCAATTTTATGCCAATTTTGCAAGGCGGGAAAAATTATGAAACATTTTGACATGGAGTCGCCAGTAAATCATCAATCAACGGAAATGTCAAACTAACAAATAACAAGCTGTTGTTCTAATGTTTTTTTTTTCTCCTTTGTTCTCTCACCTGCATAGATAATGAGTAGTTGCTGTCTATGATGTTTGTATGTAGTCAAACTTCATTCTGCTTGCTTTGTAATTTTGACTTTCATTCTTCTGTTACCATGGTGATGGCTTTACGCATGTCAGGTGATTACTCTTATTTGCTACATTGTTTGTAAAATATGTTTTCCTTGTTTTGTTTTATATGAATTGTTTCATAGAATGTGTGTTAGGCATTGCGTACTGTGCCAGTTTATTGTAAACTGTTTAATTTTCGCTGCTAGAAATTGTTGCAATTGCAGGATTTTAATTTTCACGCAAGTCACTATCATGTAGACAAAATTTCACGTTTTTGGCTCTTGACGAAATTAAAGTGGTTTACAATACTTTGATTGAGCAATGCTACAATGTGATATTGTCAATTTAGCAAAATAATTTAAATAAGAATAATTTGATGGATATATACTCTGCACCCTGCAGTAACCTTTGCGTAACCAGATTTTTCTTTAAACCAAATTGTTCTGTGAGAATAAAATCATGTTACATTGAAATAATAACATCACACTTAAATATAGCTGACATTCAAAACACCTCAAAAAATCATTGATCATTTTTGGTAAATTCTCTTCACATTTTTTCCCTTCTTCTGCAAATACGCAGGATATTTTCTCTTTGAATTTTTTTCTGTGAAAAAATACATTTACTTCAAAGAGATGTATAGCATTTTAGGTTTGCCAATTCATCTATTAAAGATGTGTTTCTGATATGGCAGTGATTTTGATGCTCACCAGAGGGGGGGGGGGTTACCAAAAATAGGAATGTGCCATCCAAACTTTCAGACCTACTGTTTTCTCGAAAGCCGATATACAAAAATGGAAAGCATATTCGCTCTATTAGTATCATGACCATCTGGTGAAATTGAACACAAACTATTTCTGTGCCTCTGATCAAAATCCCTGTTTTTAATTATTCTGTAAATATATATCATAAATTACAAATATATGTTTAAGTATATGGTTTTGGTAAATAAAAAACATTCATTCAGATTGTCATACCTTTACAAAAACAGGTTTTAGCTGAAATTCGGCTGAAGATTTTGTTGCTGGTTGTGTACCAGGCTATAAATAGATCTGAGGGATGGACCATTAGAGAATCTGGGGGAGGAGATAAAGGGAACACTAAATAGTATTTCACTGAGTTTTGAGCATTTTGATCAAATAATTGTTTTTCTCTGATTTACAAATTTTCTCTATAGATTTCAAAAAAATATCTATCCGCTTGAGTTTCTAATAGTCAACCTTCAATATGGTTAGATTATGTTATAAACACCAGTAGGTCAAATCACGGAAACGCCCTCGAGGTATTTTAAAAAGACCCAGGGCCAGAACAATGTTATTCTTCTAATAGAATAATATTAATAGCGAGAACTGGTTTGATTGCATTTTTTTGAAATACAATATTCGTAAATTAATACAGCGTTAAAGGTAAATTATTTCAGACAGAACATGAGATTGGGTTTGAAGTTTCAAAACAAATGAAATTCTGTTATAACAGTATTAAAATGTAATGTAAAAGTAAATGAGTGTTTTTTTTTTATATAATGGGAAATATACCCTCCAGGTTATTTAAATTAGTAAATTTTAAACTTCATTAGGCTACATTAGTCAATTGTCTGGTATTACTGAATCTGTGAATGTTGAACTATGATACCAATTCAACAATTTGTCTGTCATGTTATGTCTGATCCTGTCCTATCATGTTCACCTGTCCCTATCAGGTTATGTCTGATCTGTCCTGAGTATATATAGTTGATGTGGAATATTGTACGCATTTCACATGTTAGGTATGGTTTCTGTTGACCACAAAGGTTTTTGTGTGCCACCTACCAGGTGTTTGCATCAGTGTATGTGATTGGACTGTCTCTTCACTTACCAGGTGTCTGCCTCAGTGTGTGTAAATGCACTGTCCCTTCACTTACCAGGTGTCTGCCTCAGTGTGTGTGATTGGACTGTCACTTCACTTACCAAGTACCTGCATCAGTGTATGTGATTGGACTGTCACTTCACTTACCAGGTGTCTGCATCAGTGTATGTGATTGGACTGTCGCTTCACTTACCAGGTGTTTGCATCAGTGTATGTGATTGGACTGTCGCTTCATATACCAGGTGTTTGCATCAGTGTATGTGATTGGACTGTCGCTTCACTTACCAGGTGTTTGCATCAGTGTATGTGATTGGACTGTCGCTTCACTTACCAGGTGTTTGCATCAGTGTATGTGATTGGACTGTCACTTCACTTACCAGGTGTCTGCCTCAGTGTGTGTGATTGGACTGTCACTTCACTTACCAGGTGTCTGCCTCAGTGTGTGTGATTGGACTGTCACTTCACTTACCAGGTACCTGCATCAGTATCTGTGATTGGACTGTCACTTCACTTACCAGGTGTCTGCCTCAGTGTGTGTGATTGGACTGTCACTTCACTTCACTTACCAGATACCTGCATCAGTGTCTGTGATTGGACTGTCGCTTCACTTACGAGGTGCCTGCATCAGTGTATGTGATTGGACTGTCACTTCATTACCAGGTGCCTGCATCAGTGTCTGTGATTGGACTGTCGCTTCACTTACGAGAGGTGCCTGCATCAGTGTATGTGATTGGACTGTCACTTCATTACCAGGTGCCTGCATCAGTGTCTGATTGGACTGTTACTTCACTTACCAGGTGTCTGCATTAGTGTCTGTGATTGGACTGTCGCTTCACTTACCAGGTGTCTGCATCAGTGTATGTGATTGGACTGTCACTTCATTACCAGAAGCCTGCATCAGTGTCTGATTGGACTGTTACTTCACTTACCAGGTGTCTGCATTAGTGTCTGTGATTGGACTGTCGCTTCACTTACCAGGTGTCTGCATTAGTGTTTGTGATTGGACTGTCACTTCATTACCAGGTGCCTGCATCAGTGTCTGTGATTGGACTGTCGCTTCACTTACCAGGTGTTTGCATCAGTGAATGTGATTGGACTGTCACTTCATTACCAGGTGCCTGCATCAGTGTCTGTGATTGGACTATGCAATATAATATAAATATAATCTGTTCTCAATTTTTATATTTCTCACTTGATGAATATAGCAGTTGTTTCTGAATTGCATATAAACTTATTAATTTAAAAAAATAGCATGTTCAGCCTTTCTCACTTTTTGTCATGTTTGTAAATTTTAATACTTTTTAGCTCCGCTGTCGACTTCGTCGAGCGGAGCTTATCATATGAGTGATTGTCCGTCGTCGTCGTCCGTCGTCGTCGTCCGTGTCAATGTTTTACTTTTTCGACTTCTTCTTGAAAACTACAAGCCTAAATGCTATGATACTTGGTGTATATGTACCTTGGGTAGACCTCTCTTAGGTTTGTTCATTTCATGTTGATATCTTTAATTCTCTAATTTTGGTGAATATTTTTGTCATTTTTGGTAAAAACTGATATTTTCGACTTCTTGTTAAAAACCGCAAGTGCAATTGCTTTGATATTACATATATAGGTACTACATGTGGACCTCTCTCAGATTTGTTCATTTCGTGATGATATCTTCAATTCTCTAATTTTGGTGAATATTTTTGTCATTTTTGGTAAAAACTGATATTTTCGACTTCTTGTTAAAAACCGCAAGTGCAATTGCTTTGATATTACATATATAGGTTCTACATGTGGACCTCTCTCAGATTTGTTCATTTTGTAATGATATCTTTAATTCTCTAATTTTGGTGAATATTTTTGTCATTTTTGGTAAAAACTGATATTTTCGACTTCTTGTTAAAAACCACAAGTGCAATTGCTTTGATATTACATATATAGGTACTACATGTGGACCTCTCTCAGATTTGTTCGTTTTGTGATGATGTCTTCAATTCTCTAATTAATATATTTTGGTGAATATTTTTGTAATTTTTGGTAAAAAGTGATATTTTCGACTTCTTGTTAAAAACTGTAAGTCGATTGCTTTGATACTATTCATATTGTTCATTTTCTAATGATGTCTTCAGTTCTTTAATTGAAATGTGCATTTCTAACAGCGGAGCTATCTCAGCCGATAGGCTGCTTGTTAAAATAACTAATGTCTTAATTCTTTCCAAGCACAATTATCACACTAATATTTTCTGTAACAACACTGTTTTATGGGTCTTCACTTTTGGGCATATTCATGAAGACTGTTTTTTTTTCAATCTTCTGTCCCACCAAGCAATGGCTGTGTATGCTTGTTTGTATTTTGTTCAAGGATGAAGACAATCACCATATGAAATCTAATGCAAAACACATTTAGCAAACTTGTCAATACATTTGTATTTATGATGTCCAATTTAAAACAGAAATCCACTTGCATTGTTTATGGTTGTCAAATTTCCATTTTTATCCTAACTGAAGATTATATATCATCTTCTCCATTCTTTCATTATTATCCCACTAGGATACCAAAAATAAAAAAAATAGTGTGGTGTCTAGAAAAAATTTGGTAATTGTCGGAAATTGGTAAAATTGTCATTATTGCACTGGTTTCATGGTGAAATTATTTCTTCAGATCTTGAAATTTCGCTCGATGATGAGGGTTGAAAAAGTGTTATATGATTATTGATATGAATTTTATTTTTTGATATAGTCAGTTTCTAGTGTGATAATAGTCATTTACTGTTGTTAGTTATCTCCCACATTGTATTGCGTATATGTGCAGTAACATGCTCAGTAGTGTAAAATTTAGTTATCTCCCACAATGCATTGCTTATATGTGCAGTAACATGCTCAGTATTGCAGAATTTGGATTTGACTTAAACTGCCTTGGTTCACAGAACTTTGTATAATAGCTCCATTATTTAATGAAACAAAGCGAATATTGCACAATAGTTCTGCTCTTTCTTCAATCAAGATTTTCCTTCAAGAGATTTTCTAAGAACCAATTAAGATCTAATATGACTTCACCTCGTATTTTAAAGGTCATGACATAATGTACTTTTATGAGGTCACCAGACAGATCAAATCATTATTTAAAATAATCTCATAATTTTTGTTTAATGATTTTCCAATAATAACATTCTGTGATTTTTCTGAAATTCATACCTAGACTAATCCCTGCAAATTACCACGGTAACAGTTTCTCTTAAAATAATGGCTGCATGTCTTTTCACAAATCCTTGTACAGCTGACTTTATTTCAATTGTGAATTGCTTGAGCCATGAGTGACCAATCACACTGAATTTTCTGATTGGATAATGCATTGACTACTCCGCAGAACAAATCTTGTATTTTACACATACTATTTTGTGTAGAATTTCACGCTACAATGACAATGGTGATTGAATGAATGCATCATATAATTGGAAATATTTTTTCCTTGTTTCCGTAGATATACAACTGCTTCCGGGATTGTTTAGACGATGCTTCCTTTGATATTTCACTGCAGACTAGCAATAGATCTCTGATCACGTCACATGACCTCATTATGAGTAAAAACACAGGCACTTCGATCAAAGATGATATTTTAGATACTTTAGAGAAGTTTGGGCGTGGAAATGAAAAGAAAAATGAATCAGATATAAATCAGCAAGCAGGTAGGTAATTTGAAATTGTCTGTTTTTGCCTTCATCATGTTCTTTCCCACAAAATGTTGGTGTCTTTAAATTTTCTCTTAATTGCGTTAGTTTTTTTTAATTTTTTGTTTTTTGTGTCAAACATTAGTTTCTCATATTGAATATTCATTATAAATTTCATTTTTATGTAAAAATTGCATTAATACTGAAGATTTATATAAATATAAAAAACAAAACAAAAAAAACATCCTCTCTGTTTGGGAATGTGACATTGCTGTGTGGATACCTTCCTATCATAATGGCATTATGGGAATTTGATACTGTGAAGCATTTATTTTTCACTGAAATTCAATTTCACTATTTTGAGTATATTCACTTTGTTTTACTTTTACGAATTTGTCAATAAAACAATGACTTTTATTGTTATTTTACATATTCATGCAGATTTAATTTAGAGGATTTTACTTATCAGCGAAAATAGTACATTATACCATTTGTGACTTTGTTTTGTTGTCATGGGTCTTATGCAACAACCACAATGCTACCAGAATTTTGTTTAATACGTTTAGTTAGTAGGAATTATGCTACACATGTTACATCATGTTATTGATTATTGTAACCGATAAGGTGATTGATGGCAGCATTGCTGTAATGTTTTTGATAATCATATTCAGCTTAGCTCGTATTGTTGATGGAACTCGTTGAGAAAAGTCACAATTTTGTGCTTGTACAACCACCGACATCTTTGAGAAATTATTGCCAGTAGGAAGTGCTCATAAACGAGAAATTGTAATTATCACGTACCCAACCATTTTGACCTGAGACACACTTCTGTTATTTAGAAAAATTTATGAAAAAATAAATTCATTGTCAACATCAACATAAATTTGTTGACATCAACGTAAATTTGTTTACATCAACGTAAATTTGTTTACATCAACGTAAATTTGTTGACATCACCCTAATTTGTTGTTGACATCAACGTAAATTTGAATGTATCTTCTGCAGATTGGTCAACAGTGGGACTAATCATTGGTTTGCGTAATTGTCAGAAAATGTCATTTTTGTATCATTTTCTAATTGATTGTGACATAACTCTGTAGTTTTGATTCAACAGTTCATCAAAAATCGTTGTCAAAAAATTGTGTTTGACAACTGTAGTACTATTGTTAAAATAAGGTGTACACAAAGCTTAGGATTTGACACTTACATTTTTTCTTAATGAAATAACAAATAATAATTATTAAATTCCAATTTTCATATTATTCTTGGCATCATGTTCATAGCCATTATTTACCAGTACGCTTGGATAACTATCCCTAAAAAGGTACATTATTTTACCGGGAGTCAGAATCAACTGGTATCCAATTCAATTGGCCAGCTTCTGGATAGTACTATAAATAAAATGATAATCTGCTTTTCTTTGACGTATCGTTTTGCTATCGGCCATTTTTCTCCTGTTCCATGGATGTATAATGTCATCAAATCATCCCTTATGATGGGACTCAGTGAGATTGTTACTCCTTCATCTTTCTTAGTTTTGTTGTCTCTTGCCTAACTCCACTCACTCGCCTAACTTTACTATTTCTGCCTAACTTTGAGTATGTTTTCAGCTATCTCCCATCCGTTAGAAGAGGATCTGTCAGACTGTGATGTTGACAATTATTTCAAAGAAACAAAACATAGCACATTTACATCATACTGGTGAGTGAGCTTCATATTACATGTAATTATTTACAAAATTCATCATTTTTTTATTTATTTATATGATATAAAAATTATTCTTTTAAAATATTGCTTCTTTTGACCCCAATGTCGTTGTGACATTTTACCTTACACACTAACCTATTTTAGTATACGGCTTAAAATATGTGTAAAATTTACGCGGCCGTACATTGATAAATCTTCATATGAATACAGTCACAGCAGGACAATAATGTATAAATATTGACCAGGACCGAGGGCAATATGAATTACTCTATACCCAAGGGCTACAAGATATAATTATCGAAATTAGTGATATTGTGGTAATTTGTGTACTCAAATTCAGATTGACTATTTTTCTGAAGATGCTGAACCGGTTTTTTCTGCATGTTGACCAATTGAACATCAAAGTTGAACTGTTGTCATCTTTCTCAAAATTGAACCTGTATCATTTTTTCCCGTATATTTTCAAAAATTTTTGATCAAGAGCTGTAACTAATATAAAATTATGTTCATTTGATCCAAAATTACCACAAAAATCGGAGAAAAATACATAAAAATGAACAAAATGTGGCTTCCAATTTTTGTTAGGAAAAATCATGGCATTGAAAGAGTTAAAGCAATATTGATGTCAATTTATATGATTTATCTACATAATGATCATATTTTGACCTATTAAATCCAAAAATTAATGGTATTTAGAAAAGTGTAAAAATAATCCAGTGACACCCGAGTGAAAGATGAGTGACTTCACTACTTATGCACTAATGCATTTTGAAAATGGTCAAATGTTATTTGAACATTGTCAGGATTTTACTACGTCTATTTATATTGAACTCAAAAGAACTACGATCCAAGTTAGGCCGAAGTTCAGATAAATAGTTTCCTCAAATGCTGATAAAATAACTGGGGGGGGGGGGGTGATACCTAATGCCAGTTTTTAATTTTTTCACCAAAGTTGCCTGTCATGATTTGTCAAATTTTTCGGAACTTGATTATTGGAGGTAGGAATGGGGAGTTAAATTTAGTGAAAATCACTCATGAAAAATGACGAATAGTTATTGAATACGTACACTAAGTTTACAAATCATAAAGTTGATCACCCTATGAAATAGTGAATCATACACAGATTGTTATTTGTCAAGCGGCGCCGTCAAGTCTGGGACAAAGCAAATGCCAATTTGCTTTGCGAAGTTGGCTGCCATCTTGTTAACTGACTGTCCAAATAATTCTCTGAACTGCTGTAAACATCCCACATAAATTATTCACTGTGACAAAACTTTGTGTTTTTCTCTCATAAAAAAACGATTAGCAACGCTGTATTTTTATTAATTAAAGATGTATTTAATTAACGCATTGCCTGCTCAAAGCCTCCACAGATAGCAAGAATGAACAAGAACACAATTGCAATGCGCTAAAATCAATTTGCATGGTTTTGCTGAAGCCGGCCTTCCATGGCCGTCCCTAAATTGAATGATTTGATTTTTCAGCGATATGCATCACATGTGACTTTGTGTTCCATCCAATAAAAATGCCCCAAAGCGTGCACCATTGTTATGTTTGATTTCATCGTGCAGCGAATACAGGTTTATCTTGAGGGAATCTGCCAAGGTATAATGTTGAGGCTATGGCTAAATACTTAAACTCAGAATAAGATTGTTGGAACTTTAATGAAACCGTCACTCATTTATGCAATGAGCAAAATATGCTAAAAGTATACCTGCCAAATCACTGGCATTCTGACAAATTTCGGCATCAATCGCATCATGTATAAATATCATGTTAATGGAGAATATTTCTGAAAAAAACGTATGAACATTAGTTTGAGATCTTTAGTGATCAGCACCGCCACCAACAATCACTTGAGAAAAGTAAAAAATTAAATAATATAATATGCAAATTTGTATATTTAAATATGTTATAATATGTTAATTTGGTACTTTGAATAATTTAACTTTGATTTATGTTTTTTTTATACATGTATTACCCTCTTTTGATTTTTGGAAAGCTGGCAGATTTACCGTCCAGTGTTTTGTGAAAAATGAACATTTACTGGTATTAGTAAAGGGTGTTGGTAGCAATTCTGTCTGGCAATCATATACATGTAATTGATTTCACTGAAACCATTGATCAAGTAATTGGATTCACAGTACATGGTGACATTTAATATATCTGAGCTGAAACCTGATTTATCAATTTAAATTGAGTTCAGCAAAAAATTTGTAAACAGAACAACAATTCTAATTTATTTTGAATATTACATCTTTGTCGGTTTATTGTCAAAGTTTTGTAGTAGCAGATCCTAGGGTATGGTTACCATGTCCAGAGGTGGTGTTAGTTAATAATTACAATCAAGACTAACTCTTACTGGACCAATAGACACTGCTATACTATACTTATGATAATATGTGGAACAAAATGCATGATTTTGATCTATACCTACTCATAAAGTAAATGGAACTATATCTATGTTTAAAAAGAATATAAATGTACCGGTAGTGAGAAAGGTGTTTTTTAATAAAACTGGGATGTTGTATTTTTGCTTGAATTTCATGTATATATTAATTTTTGTTTGTTATTCATTGCAGTGAAGAATGGCAGCGATTATTCGGTTGCCATAACTACATGTCAGTGATCAAAAAGCAAGGATTTAATGGAAACTTGAGAAGTAGTAGATTTAGAAGTGTATGTTGGAGAGTAAGTATTATGCTTTGTTACTTATTTTATTGCTCCTGATTGGTGAATTCAAGTCACATGACAGTGATTAACATTAATGCAATAAATTTTCCGTATTTTAAAATTGGTAAAAGCTGCTAGGACACATAAATGTAATACTGTAATAGACTGAAAGGATAATTCAGTGGAAATAAAATCTAGCAAATTTTTTCATATATTTTACATTTAATTCATCAAAAATCTGTGAAAATATACAGCAAAGTCTTTACAGCGAAAATTAATTCCAGCTAAAATAAAGAAAATTGTAATCGGTTAATATTGTCCTTATTAGTCCCCATTCGGACGAAGTCCGAAAACGGGGACTTATAATTCGGTCTCCGTTCGTGCGTCTGTGCATCTGTCCGTGCGTCTGTGCGTCCGTCCGGAGTCATATCTCAGAATCCTTTGGACCGATTTCGTTCATTCTTTGCATGTGCTTAGTACTTTATGTGGGACATATGCACATGCAGTGATTTAGCGATTTGATTCAAAATGGCCGACTGGCAGCCATCTTGTTTTTTGAAAATGTTTTATTTTGGACATGCTTTGTTCGTTTTCATTCAAACTTGGTACATAGATTATACATGTTAGGATACATGTCCATGACGATTTATTTCACAATTGGATCAAAGATGGCCGACTGGCAGCCATCTTTTTTTTGAAAATGTCCTATTTTGGACATGTTTTGTCAGTTTTCACTCAAATTTAGTACATAGATCATACATGTTAGAATATATGTTCCCGACCGTCTGTGAGTTCCTGAGTCTATCCGTCCATCTGTCCGTCTGTGCATCAGTCTGTCCAGTGTCATATTTCAGAATCCTGTGGACCGATTCCGTTCATTCTTTGCATGTGCCTAGTACCTTATGTGGGACATATGCACATGCAGTGGTTTAGCAATTCGACTCAAAATGGCAGACTGGCAGCCATCTTTTTTTTTTTTTTTTTATGTGGTATCTTGTCAGTTTTCATTCAAATTTGGCACACACATGTACTTTATACATGTTAGGATTCATGTCCATGACAATTTGTCTCAAAATCTGGTCAAGGATGGTCGATTAACAGCCATCTGACTTTTTGGCCTTACTACTATATTTCCACAATTTATGTACCATTTTCATTCGTATTTGGCACATATATCATACATATCAGTGTGTTTCATAATCAGATCAAAGATGGCCGAATAACGGCTGTTTTTTATTTTTGGCCATATTACTACTACACGGAACACATGTTTTGTTGTAAATAAACAATCTGTTGTAAACGCCACTTGGAACTCAAGTTTCAAGGACACGCTCGCGACAACCCTTCCGCTTTAATATGACGAGCACAAAGAGAACTTTCAAAAATTTAACGGTGACTGTGTCATTTTCAATGACTTGTTCACTATTGCTAAACATTTCGGACAGTATTCATTCTCATATTTTATTTGTTTCAATTTCATTTCAGTTGTATTTAGATTGTTTACCTGAGGATCAGTGTGATTGGATCGAAAAAGTTCGGGAAAGCCGACAGATTTACAGCGATATTAAAGATATACACATAACGAATCCACGTAACGAAAGTAAACAAGATGTTACAGTTCACCATCCATTGTCATTGGATGAACAGGTATATAGTCAGTCATACATTGATACATTAGAGCATGCATACCGTATGGCATTAAAAACACTTCACAAAGGCATCAAAAGGCAATTGCCTCAATCACTATGTTTGGTGCCCCTCGAAAAAAAAACAGATTTTACTATTCATATATTATTTGGCGATTTTATTAAATATGGCTTTGAAAATGTTGCCCTGACAACTTTGAAGTTTAACCTTTTCACCACCAGTTCCTTCTTTTCATCACAAATTCACAAAATAGTCCTTCAGAAAATTTGGTCATAAACAGCCAAATTTTTTGAATAAAAGCTAAAAATTGACTAAAATTTTGTCTGTTGGCTCCAAATTTAGGGTTCACTTCCAGAAATATTGAAGTATATAAGAAAAAAAGTGCGGAACATTTTGGGCGATAAAGTCTAGTGGTGAAAAGGTTAAGCCCTGGAAGCATTAACATACATTTAGGGATGAACCATTTAGAATCCTGGGGAGGAAATGAAATGAGATTCCTGAAACAGATAGTCTATTAAAAGATTAGCTAAATGAAATTAATTATTATGCCTCAAGTATGAGACAGTCAATGTTATTGGTCAAAAGTGGTCACATGATTGTTTGACAAATATCAATATTGGCTTCTTTTTCAGCATATTTCTTGACTAACGTCATTTTGGGTGTCATTGACCTCTGACATCTGAAACACTTAGATTGTTGTAGAGGATAAAAAGGATGATACTTGACAAATGCTTGACATACTATTTTACCTTTGACCTTTGTGTTTAGGGATGAACAATAATATATGGGTGGGGTAAAGTGAATAAAATCCCTATAGCAATTTTATCATTTTTACAAAAATGCATATTAATGAGTATAATAGTAAATATATAAGTAACTATTGTGAATAATAAAAAAAAATTTCCTTTTTGATTCAAACAGTTGCACACAACAAACTAAACAAATCCCCCCCCCCAAGTGTCTTGATCAAACCATTAGTTTAATCATATTTATGTTTTGATTGCTCACCTATTTCACCTGATAGCTTGATTGCATCAATAAGAAGGTTAGAACACATTTTTATGGCATCTTAGACTGATATGATGAATTATAGAAAATTGTATTTAGTATTAAGATAAGGCTGATATAGTTTTGAGATTTTATACTTATAAAACCTGTTCTGTTTCTATTATTTAGTCTCGGTAGCTGTAAGTTTTATTATTTGCAATTGTAGATGTACTAGTAATTGAATTTCACTCTGTGTGTTCAATTGATTTAAATTAATTTCATGTTTACACATCTCGCATTCACCAAAATTATCAACATATTCCAAAAAACGTGAATTATTGCAAACAAAAATAAATTAGTATATTTTAAAGGGAAAAATATCGGATTCTGCCATAAATTTGCCCAGGGCCGTTAAACGGAAGGCATTTTTTTTAAGGTGTTATTTTAATCTTTTCTGATGCCTAAAAGTTTCACCGTACTCATTGACGCCTATTCAAGAGTGTGATGTTTATTGCGACTAGCGTGAATGGGTTAGCTTCGTTTCGACAATGAGCTGTTATTACTGTAAACAATGTTGAATTATTCTTTAAATACTCAGTTTATCTTTTGAAAACATTAACATATTTAAATGAACTATGGTAATTTGAACACATTCGCATCATCCATCGTTTTCATTGGTTAATTAGTGATTTGACCTGCCAGGTCAAGACATGGCGGATATTTATTTCTACAGTATCAAGCGTTTATAGTGCGATCGTAATCATTCGCTTACAATGAAATAAGTTGAAATTTATTTATTTCATAACAATTCAACAAATTTATTTTTTGCACATTATTATAATCATTACTCGGTAATAATCAACAACCGTGATCATTTGCTACTAAGCAATGCAGTTGTGTTCGTTTTTATTTGAAACTTCTTTTAGAATATACTTTCGTTACTAATAAACTAAAAAAAATAATTGTATTTGGCGCACAAGGTTCGTTAATGTGATTTTTTGGAGAAAGATGTGCTGGGTGACATTGTAATGAAATTTTAGGCGATCTACTTTTCAATCCAGCAAGAAAAATGTATAAAATTTTAGATTAGCTTCTACAATAGTCTCTTTCGTTTTGGCTGGTCCAACTGTCGGCATTGAAAGTCGGCGGAGGTAGATTTTTCAATGAAATTATAAGTCCCCAAAAAATATTTGATGATCCATTTTTTGAAATTTTTAACCCCAAATAAGGGCCCGGGCAATTTTTCGGATTGGCGAATTTACGACAGAATCCGGTACTTCCATATGTTGTGTTATCAAGCCTTGCCAATGATCCTGATGAATAATTTGAATAATATTTATGAACTTGTATTGTTTTTTGCATTTATATTTATTTCATTTATATATTTATACATCTCAATAAATTATTGGTGTTATAAATGAAGTTGTCATCAGACTGTCATCATCACTACCAACAAGTTTGTAAGGAGTCATTTAAAACACATCATTTGGTGAAAGGGGTCAAAAATAGTGTCTGGAGACTATGCTTTAAACATTTTTTTTGACCAGTTTCAGAAAAAAAGCATAGTGGAAAATTTGACCACGGTGATTTACAACAAAATTTTGTGAAATCTTAATCGTCACAAATGCTATAATTTTCACTCATTTTAATAAATCACTCAAACCTTTTTCTCATTGTGTTATTTAATACCACTTTGATGCAACAATACTAAATGGTTATAGCTACTGACCCTTTAACCTAATTCTCTAGTTTACTCTTCTCATACAAAAACATTTCTGAAAGTTTTTGGACTGTCCTTTAATCTATTTGTCTCTGTGAATGGAACTGTTTGCTGTCCACGCTGTCTGCGTTGTCAACACTGTCACCCATACATGTGGGATGTTTATTCTTCATTTGCTGACCTTCTAATCATTTCCTTTATGCTTATTTCCATATTAATCATTCTATTATCATATTTGCTCCAATAGAAGCACATACAAACCAAAAATTGTATTTGCCGTTTGCTGGATCATTTAAATATTATTTATTTTGTCCATAGAAACAAAACTGTTTGCGTTGCTAGTCAAGTCTGTATTCTTATTCTTCATTTCTTTTTTATTCTTGTTATCGGTAGAGCCCATGGAACAAATTTTTTCAAGACAACGAATTAAGACACGTTATAAATCAAGATGTTAAAAGAACTTTCCCAGAAATCCAATTTTTTCAGACGCAAGAAGTTCGCGATATGATGGTCAATATACTGTTTTGCTATGCACGGGAAAATGAAGAATTGTCCTACAAACAGGTGAGAGTGAATTGAAAAGATGTGAATTCTTTGTCTTATGTGAGTTTTTGTCAAACATCACTCCTCTGTGGTGCTATAGCGCCCCCTTGCTGCCATAGTGCAGATCTTTTGATCAGTTTTGTGATTTCAATGCCGAGGTACTTGCACATACCATAAACAGGTTATTTGTGTCAAACACCAAGATACCATGTGGTGTTGCTCGAAGCAATATTATTATTTTTTTTCATAACAAAATATGAAAACTGATTCCCACAAAACAACACGTTATTTCCGGTATTACCCACGAATAGCTCTAAATACTAGTTATTCGTCAATCTAATAATCACTTGGATATTGTTTGTTTTTTCAGGGTATGCACGAGTTATTAGCACCTATTATCTTTGTACTCCACTGTGATCACCAGGCATTCTTACATGCTACAGAAATGGAGTCGTTATTGTAAGTAGCTGTTTTCATTGGTTGATTGGATATATTGCCCTGCAGTATACATAATGACCTGCTATATGCATATGCATCATGAATAACATGACAATTATTATGTATTGTTCTGCATTATTGACCTTATGCATCATAGTGCATATTTTCAGAATGCCTGTTTATATTGACCTGGTCATGGTATAATGCCCTATAATTATTGACCTGTGCATTATTAGCATTCTGGGTAATAAGCATACTTTTTTCTGCATGTTACGAACTGACTGATAATGTGATTGTCTGTGATTGTAAAAAGTATGATTTGTTTTGTTCTTTTTTTTTGTTTGTTATATAGGCTTTGCATCCCTGTATTTTTTTTAACTCTGTACGCTAATTTTTTTTCAATTAATTTAATTAATGTTTTAAGTTTTGTTTTTATTTTCTACCGTTGCTGCTTCCACCAATCCTACCTTGCCTATTTGTTGTAGCGTGATTGGTCCACAAAAGAGGAGGTTAGAGTGGATTCCTAAACTGATTTTATTTCTCATAGTGTGGGTCTCACAAATAAACACTTGTCTCATAATCTACCTTGCTAGCCCATGTGTGTGTTTGTAATCATTTACTCCACTAATTTCATGCAGTCACAAAGCAGACCTGTATTTCTGTCCATCATTAAAGCTGACATTGATACCTGTATATTTACACTTCCATTTTTATCTGATGATAGAATATTCACATTCCCTGTCCACTTTCATATGATGTTATAATATACACATTCCCTGTCCACTTTCATACGTTAGAATATTCACATTCCATGTCCACTTTCATATGATGTTAGAATATACACATTCCCTGTCCACTTTCATATGATGTTAGAATATTCACATTCCATGTCCACTTTCATATGATGTTATAATATTCACATTCCCTGTCCACTTTCATATGATCTTAGAATATTCACATTCCCTGTCCACTTTCATATGATGTTAGAATATTCACATTCCCTGTCCACTTTCATATGATGTTAGAATATTCACATTCCCTGTCCACTTTCATATGATGTTAGAATATTCACATTCCCTGTCAACTTTCATCTGATTATAGAATATTCACATTCCCTGTCAACTTTCATCTGATTATAGAATATTCACATTCCCTGCCCACTTTCATCTCACTCTCCATGTCTCAAGAAAAAATAATAATACATCGGTTCTGGATGTGTTACTATAGTTACTAGTAAAATTATTTAATAACATTACATCAGTATTTTTCCATTGTACTTCCATGACAACTCGTGTTGTCCATTACATTTGACATAAAAAATCCTTACCCTCAGAAGATGTTAAAAATTTAACATGACTGTTACCCACTAACAATCAGTTAAATTATTTTGTGGTCCTCAGCAATCAAATCAGGCAGTGTCACCCACCCTAATCTCAAGAAAATATTTTGAAAATTAATTTGAATTTGTCTCATTTTTGGGGTGACCCATTGTCATTTACAATTCCCCGTTGTGATATTTACTGTTAAAGTGCAGGGATCATCGCACCGCGTCCTGTTCGATGTGGGACTCATAGCGACATACACAGCGCGTGTGAAATACATTGTTTATTTTCATGAAATTTGACGTGACTACCACCGCCCTTTAAGTATCACTTATGGTATTATGGTAAGGTAAACGTTGCACTATTCACGTTCAACCTCGTCATTGTAAGTATGCAAATTGTGCATCGGTACAATGTTCATTAGTGCAGTATGAGAATTTTAGAACAAATTACGCATGTGATGCAACCAAATTTCGCTGACTATAAATTTATTTTGAACATATATTGCTAAAATGAGTAATATTCTTACAGTCCTCAATTCTCATTGACAGCTACAAATGCACTTGTGTCCTTGGATATTTTTTTGAATTGGCATAAATTAGAATAGTTTCGTAAAATTATCAATTTCTCTGTGCTGTTGGTAATTAGGGCTTGTTAATACTTGTAATGTCATAGGCTGCTTACGTTTGGTTTGTGGAAATTACTAGCCCATAATGTCACTTGTATCAATCGGTACTTCTAATAAGTCATATCACTTGAAAACATCGTATTGTTCTATTTAGCAAACTCGTGTGATGCGATGAAATATTTTTCTACTTGTATATAATTTTTTTTTAATCTTGTATTGAGTTTCAACTGACTAAAATTATAAATGCGGTGAATGTGTGTCTAATGTAATACTTATATTATACAGATATGTGCTATGTTTACATGACAACATTCTGTCAGAGCTGAACTACTGCTCCTCCAATGTGTTTACATGGTCGGGCCAAAGGAGAGCCAAGATCTGCCCAAATTTAATCCGGTTCGGGACAGCGTTCTCAATTACTAAGTATGAAAACATGGCTGAAAATGATTTTGGTGTCATGCTTGTGTTGTTTCTTTACATGACACGATGCATGTCAGAGTATTATCCTGTTGAGTCATGAATCTGAGACAATGCACGAACGCGTATACATTTTTGCTGGATCAAGCCGTAAGGCTCTGATAAAATGTTGTCTTGTAAACTCAGCAATGGTTTAGGGTAACTCATTGGGTTAACTCATTCATTTCACAGAATTTGTTAGTCAAACTTTATTTTTATTGATCTATATATCTCACCCTTAGCAAAAGTTGTTACCATGGTAATGTGATATCAATTTGGTAACTTTATATGCATCACAGATATCAAAATAAAAATATTCCATGTTTGCTTTTAGAAGCCTGCATTCATACCCAGCCCCTCTATCAGGGACTGTGATTCATATTAATATACCCTGAAAAAATAGTTTACAACTGTAGGAGGAGTTTGGGTCAATAAATGCTGCTTATAGCTCAGCTTTCATATGTTTGTATTTGAGATGTCAAAATAGTTTACCCAACTGAAGAGACACCAGTTATTCGATAATCTCTGAGAGATACAGTGTGAAATAATTTGAATAGAGTTGTATGTTACAATGTTGCAACTTAATAAATACTATTTTTATTTTGCATTTCAGAGAAGTTGTTAAGGAGCTTTTAAATCCCGATTACATTGAGCACGATGCATAGTGAGTAAATTTTGTTTTTTACTTATTTTTTACTTTTACTTATCTCTCCAACTCTGTCAAAAATGATCATGGCAAGCACACTTTTAGGACCAGCATTTTCTGAAATTACAAGTCATTGAAAATGACACAGTCCCCGTAAAATTGTTGAAAGTTCTCTTTGTGCTTGTCATGTTAAAGTGGAGGGGTTGTCGCGAGCATGTCCTTGAAACCCAAAAACTTGAGTCCCAAGTGGCGTATACAACATATTGTTTATTTACATCCAATTCGAACATGTGTACCTCTTCGGTTTAAGACATAGCAAAAAAAAAACATAGATCACAAGTGAAAGCATGTCCGAGTTATCACATTTTAAACAAACAAGATGGCCGCCAGTCAGCCAAATTTGATCAAATTGAATTAACATGTACATGTATCCATTTATAACATGCTAAATATCAATGACAATGATACATGGGTGACAGATATAGTAATATGGCCATAAATAAAAACGGTGGTTATTTGGCCATCTTTGATTTGATTATGAAACAAAGTGACATATATGATGTATGTGCCAAATACAAATGAAAATGGTACATAAATCTTGGAAATATAGTAGTAAAACCAAAAAGTCAGATCCTTGATTCGATTTTGAAACAAATTGTCATGTACATGTATCCTAACATGTATAAAGTATGTGCCAAATTTGAATGAAAACTGACAAAGCATGTCCAAAATACAACATTTAAAAAAACAAGATGGCTGCCAGTTGGCCATCTTTGATCCAATTGCAAAAGAAATTGTCATGGACATGTATCCTAACATGTATATTCTATGTACCAAGTTTGAATGAAAACTGACAATACATGTCCAAAATACAACATTTTCAAAAAACAAGATGGCTGCCAGTCGGCCATTTTGAATCATATCGCTAAACCACTGCATGTGCATATTTCCCACATAAAGTACTAGGCACATGCAAAGAATGAACAGAATCAGTCCAAAGGATTCTGAAATATGACCTCGGACGGATGGACACACGCACGGACGGACGGTCAGTGGACATGTATCCTAACATGTATAATCTATGTACCAAATTTGAATGAAAAATAACAAAGCATGTCCAAAATACAACATTTTCAAAAAACAAGATGGCTGCCAGTCGGCCATTTTGAATCGAATCACTAAACCGCTGCATGTGCATATGTCCCACATAAAGTACTAGGCACATGCAAAGAATGAACGGAATCGGTCCAAAAGATTCTGAAATATGACTCCGGACGGACGGACGGAGGCCGAAATATAAGTCCCTGCATGTTTTTGGACTTCGTCCGAACGTGGACTAAAAATTGTTCTTTATGATTGACTGATTTTAATAAACAAAATGATCTCAACAACAATAACTGTATGTAGCGTTGCAGGGTAGCCTTCTCATGTGAAATCATCGGTAGTACATGCCTTTTGTTTTTTTTGCAGTACAGCAATTTATGCAAACAAATATAATACATTGAAAGAGAAAATATCATTTTGTATATGCCCCTTAGTATTAGTTTGATGGCTCCTCTTGACCCAACCCGTTACAAAACAAGTTACATGTATGATGTAGCTCGCAATGTTGCAGTTTTGGCATTCAAAATAATATCGTGATGACAATTATTACACTTAATTTTCATATCACTATCCAATAGTAAATATTACCATGAAGTTAGCGAAGGTTAAAGAAACCTTGCCAGCATATTAAATTGTCCATTTTTTCCTACAGCGCCTTGTTTGTACAGCTAATGGAAACCATGGAACCGTGGTATAGATTTGGCAGACCAGAGTCAAGGTCATACTTCCAGGGTATCAAAAACAAGATCATGTCAGCGACGCCATTCACTGATCCATCAGAATTCAGCCCTTCCTCACCAGTTGTTACAAAACTCACCAAAATACAAGATAGAGTACTTCAAAAATATGATTATGAATTGTATTTACATTTATCTCGACTTGAGATTGCACCACAGATATATGGCATGTAAGTATTGATTTATCACCAGAACTCTCAAGTTCAAAGCCTACTTGCGATTGAACACAAATAATGATATCAACACGTACTTTGGGTGGTACAGACTTCAATAGACCAGTATTGAGTTACCCTTGACATCTGACCTTTTGGTCATAATTGTATAATTGTAATATTTTGCTTTTCTCCACATTTCAGTCGGTGGGTTCGTTTGCTGTTTGGAAGAGAATTTCCTTTACAAGACCTATTAGTATTATGGGATGCCATCTTTGCAGACGGTTTGACTTTTGACTTGATAGATTATATATTTGTCGCCATGTTGATGTATGTACGAGAACAATGTAAGTATGCTACAATTTCTGTTCAAGTGTTTACACCAACATCACAACATTCCACATATCAATACACTCAGGTGATCAGGTGACATATAACACGATTACAAAAGTATGTATTCTGACGCATACAATATAGTAGTCCCAGAAACATCACATAAATATATACCTGATCTATTATTTTAATCGCATACAATTTTTATGATAGCTGTCAAATTCTTGTCGATATGGTTAAAATTTATTTCCAACATATATGTTTTAGATTATGAACGTTCCAAAAAAACATATCATGATTCTGTAATTAGTCATATATATTAGATTGGTGGAATACTAAAACCAACATTTATGAAACAATAAGAGATTGCAGTAAACAGCTACTTTTTTTCAACAATTTTGGTTATACTACGGTAATGTCTTTTTAGGATTCCATCTTGCATGGTTTGCATAGGATTCTGGCTACTGTAAAATGACTAATTTTCACTGATTTACCATTTCAGGCATATTCAGTGGGTTTTTAAATTCATGGTTTTATCATTTAGATAATGTGTTCTATGCTAAATTTTAAATATTCACCGGGTTTTAATTTAGTGCATTTTCCAGTTGGCGAAATAAGCAAAATTAAAACCCAGTGAATAATTACTCCCTTTACAGTATCTGGGAATGAATTGGCCTTTGATTCTGTTGTCAAAACATCCTCTATTGACAGGGACTATGTCATCTATTAACTATTATCAAGGTTACTTCTTTGACAGTATTGAATAATGATTTCTTTGATCACAGATGAGGGCTATGCCATCTGTTAACTATTATCAATGTTGATTCTTTTACAGTATTGAGTAATGATTATCCCGGATCACTGAAAACACTGATGAGGTATCCACCTGTTACAGATGTCCATTTTCTTCTCAACCAGTCACTGTATCTTAGGAAACCAAAGGTAGATATTTTCTAGTCAAATGTCACAGTCAGTCTCATTTGAGGATATGTTCTTATCAAATGTAACATCCAGTCTCATTGGAGCATATTTAGTCAAAAGTACAAGTCTCTATTTGAATGATATTTTAGTCGAATGTAACAGTCAGTCTCATTGGAGCATATTTAGTCAAAAGTACAAGTCTCTATTGGAATGATATTTTTAGTCGAATGTAACAGTCAGTCTCATTGGATGATATGTTCTTATCAAATGTAACATCCAGTCTCATTGGAGCATATTTAGTCAAAAGTACAAGTCTCTATTGGAATGATATTTTTAGTCGAATGTAACAGTCAGTCTCATTGGAGGATATTTAGTCAAAAGTACAATGATATTTTTAATTTTAGGCAAATGTAACAGTTAACCTCATTGGATGATATTTTCATTCTCACTCATTGACTTTCTATTTGCAGGATCGCAAGAAACCTTCTGTACCTGTATATAATTTTTCTTATCCTAAAATTGATGTTGCCGGTCAATCTAAGACAGCGCCCTCACAGTCTTCAACACAGAAACCTAAACCCAATAAAGTCAGTGTGGGCATCGCAAATATAACAAAGAGAATCAAGAACAAAACGTCAGACGTGAAAGTGAAAGTACCGAAATCAACAAGTGAACCGTCGTCAATTAGTGAGGCTGGTAGTAAGTATGCTTGGATTTATCATTACTGTAAAATCATTAATTTTTAATGACATTTAATTTCAGTATTTTGATGTTTTTGAACAATATCAGTGTGTTGAAGTTCACAAACTTGGCAGAGAAACAGGGAGTTCTATTGTTATTCTAGAAGTCTATGTGGGTTTAATTTAGTGAACTTCACTGAATATCATG